CATGACCAAAGGACAAGAGACAAAGTGGCCATTCTTTGTCTAAGGAGCATTCCATATGCACTTCTTCCAGGTTTATTCTTCCAGCAGTCCATGGTATTTTCAGTATTCTTCACCAACACCACAATGCAAATGCATGGGTTTTTCTGTGGTCTTCCTTATTCATTGTCTGGCTTTCACATACATATGAGGCTATCGAAAATACCATGCTTTTGATGGGGCACACCTTAGAGACATCTTTGCTCTTTAACACTTTAAAAGGGGTCTTTTGCCAAATATTGTATTGGTCCATTATTGTAATAGTCAAGGAAACGCTTATCTGTGGAAGGTCATTTTCTTTGTTGGTTACCAGGGGTGGGAGGGGAGGGGAAGGAACACTGTTAGATAGATAGAGATAAGTTTTGATTTGGGTGAAGAAAAAGGCAATGTACCAAATGTAAGTGATCAATGTAGTGGCATTGAGGAAGAAAAAGACAGAGAGAGCTATGTGGGAAGTACAGAAAACAAAGATGAACCCTTTTGCACATATAATACGACGTGCTCGTTGAAGGCAAACACGGGTGTATGGGTGGACAGGCTGAAATATTAGGTATCTATATGAAGTGGAGAGTACACCCAAGAACATGTATAGGGTTGGCAGACAGTGGTCCAATAACTTTTATGTATATGATCTGAATTCCCAGGTGTATAATGGGGCTGACAAGGGACAAGGTTTTAGTCACTGTTTGGCCACTGACAGCTACCCAGAGGGACAGAGTAGTTGAACCTGTGGGCTCGGGACCATAGTCCCAGAGGACATCAAACTCAATTGGCATAACATACTACACAAATCATTGTTCCACCTTCTACTGTGACTAGTAGCGACTGAGATCTTAAAAGCTTGCAAGCTGCCATCTAGATGCAACAATGGGGCTCTCCTCGTCCAGGACCAAGAAGAATGAAGAAAACCAAAAATTCATGGAAACAATCAGTCCTAGCGACTGGTACACCATCCAATCTGCGGCCTATACGACTGTGAGACCAGAAGAAATAGATGGTGCTCGGCTACTACTGTCAACCACTTGGAAGAGGATCTTTGTAGGAGATCCTGGATAAACAGGGGAACAATGTGGAACAAAACTCAAAATCATTTGGGAAAAAAGAAAAAAAAAAAAGCGGGGAACAGGTTTACTGGCCCGATGAAGCCTGGTGGAACCACTGAGACTATGGCCCCTAGCTGTCCTTCAGGTCTGGAATTAAACACACACTTGTAGCTTCCAGCCAAGCAGTAGACAGGCATACTAGTTGAGCATTTACCTGAGGTAGATACACTCCTTGGAGACAACAAGTAAGAAAGAAGGGCTGCTCAGGCACAGGGAGACAGCTCAGGGGGTAGGAGTGCATGGAGGGATGGTCACAGGGAAGTGGTACCTATCGGGAGGAAGTAGGGGAGGAGCTGTTGGATTGTGCTAAATTGTGGTCAATGTCATGAGACAAAGTGTATGTGATCTGCTGTATGGAAAGTGTATTTGCTCTATAAATTTTCACCCAAATCACAATAAAAATAAAAATTAAATAAAAAAAGGGGAGGCTTTTGCAGCATACTTGCCTAGTGCAATACAACATCTAATTTCTTTACTGCTGCTTTTTGCCCATAGAATCCTTTAATATTGCAACTTGAGGTCTGAATTTTTCTTCAGTCCTTTCAGCATAAGACATGTGCAGAGTTCTTCCTTTTTGGTTTTCTAATTCCAGGTCTTTGCACATTTCATTATAATGCTTTGCTTTTTCTTCTTGGGTCACCCTTTGAAATCTCTTGTTTAGCACTTCTCCTTCATCATTTCTTCCATTCTCTTTAGTTACTGTGCATTCAGTAGCAAGTTTCAGAATCTCTTCTGACATCCATTTTGGTCTTTTCTTTCTTTCCTGTATTTTTAATGAACGTTTGATTTCTTTATTTATAACGTCCTTGATGTGATCCCACAATTCATGTGGTCTTCAGTCATTAGTGTTCAGTGCATCAAAGCTATTCTTGAGAGGTCTCTAAATTCAGGTGGGACGTACTCAAGGTCATGCTTTGTCTCTTACAGTCTTTTGAAAAAATTTTGTTCCACAGTCAACCTCTGGCCTTGTTCTGATTAATGATATTGAGCTTCTCTATCATTTCTTTCCACAAATACAGTCTGTTTGATTCTTGTGTATTCCATCTGTTGAGGTCCACATGTATACTTGTTGTTTATATTGTTGAAAAAAATGTATTAGCAATAAATAAGTTATTTGTGTTGCAAAATTCTGTCATTAACTCCCTGACATTGTTTCTGGCATCAAGGCCATGTTTTACCACCCTTCTTTCTTTCCACTTTTCCCATTCCAATCACCAGTAATTATCAAGTCATCGTGATTGCTTGTTTGATCAATTTCAGACTGAAGAAATGGGTAAAATTCTTTCATTTCTACATCTTTGCTTTAGGGTTTGGTGCATAAATTGGAATGACAGACATATTAACTGGTCTTCCTTTGAGGCGTATCAGTATTATCCTGTCTCTGCCAGCATCGTGCTTTAGGAATAGATCTTGAAATGTTCTTTTTGATGATGAATGTGATGCCATTACTCTTCAATTTGTCGTTCCTAGCATGGTAGATTATATGATTGTCCAATTCAGTGTGGCCATTACCAGTCCATTTCAGATCACTAATTCCTAGAATATCCATCTTTATGCATTCCATTTCATTCTTTTTCAACTTGCAATTTTCCTTAATTCACATTCTGTTACTAATGGATGTTTGCAGCTGTTTCTTCTCATTTTGAGTCATGAAAATCTGAAAATGAAGGTCCCCAAAGCTTTACTCCAGCCACATCATAAGGCCAATTCTAATTTCAGGACGCAGCCCTTCCACAGCCGTGTTTTGAGTGCCTTCTGACTGTGGGGCTCATCTTCCAGCACTATATCAGACAGTGTTCTACTCCCATCCATAAGGTTTTCACTGCCAGTGTTTTTCAGAAGTAGACTGCCAGGTCCTTCTACCCAGTCTCTCTTAGTCTGAAAGCCATTACTTGTCTGTCAGTTCGTTCTAGTGTGGTGGCTGTGCCATCAGTGTTTCAAATACCAGCAGAGTCACCCATGGTGGACAGGTTTCAGTGGAGCTTACAAACTAAGAAAGTTAAGTGGGAAAGGGGGGACTAAAACCTCTCCCATGATCTGGACTGGTCCAGGACTCTCTTCTGGATACTGATCTATCTTTCTTCTTCACATACTATAGATTTTAGTCCTGTGTTCTCCGGAGAATTTCTTATGGAGACTCGACGGCACATAACAACATTTTAAATTCACTATTACAGGCTTAAACCTTATGACAAAATGTCCACATGGTGGACAGAGATCAGACCTCTAATTAGCATGGAGCATGCAAAACTGCCTAATTAAATAGTGAGCATTGTTCAGCTTAGCTGAAGCCTAAGGAAAATTTAAAAAAAAAAAAAAAAAACACCCTGTGGTGGCTTCATAATGTGTCAACTTCACAACACAGTGATGTTCACGACTGCGACCTTTGTCAAAGAGAGGCTCACATTCCTCAGGTGAGTCCATCGTCAAGCAAGAATATCTGTAATACACTGTTTCATTTATTTTAAGTTAGTTAATCATTTAAAAAGGAGCTCTGGTGGCGTAGTGCCTATGGCATTTGACTGCTAACCAGAAGGTTGGCAGTTCAAACCCACCAGCCACTCCTCGGAAGGAACTAGGCAATCTACTTCTGTAGAGGTACCACCTCAGAAACCCAAGGAGGGGTTGCTGTGAGTTGGAATCGACTTGATGGCAGTAAATTTAATCATTTAAAGGGTCCTTCACTCTGACTTCCATAATGCCTTCTTGTCTGTTTCTGAAAACCCAAAACAAGCCATCCTTTTCATGTTCCCTGGTAATTATTTTTGTTTGACTCCGATTCTAGCAAATAGCTCCAGCCCTTTGCTTAGCAAAATACTTGAACATCTGAATGGATCTTCTTCAAATACCGTTTTCTACAGAGACAGGCTTTGAGGGTTCTGAATAGCTTAGGTTATGCTGTGCAGTTTTAAGATTAAATAGAATTTAGATGAGTCTAATTGAAAATATGTTCGTAGCTGGTTTATGTGAATCAGTGAGTGAGTGAGAGTCCCCTGCCTGAGTGACTGCGGGAGATGAGGCCTCCGCTGAATCCCACCCTGCGCATCTGGTGTCACCGTGGTGCCTCCTGTCCTTTCCGTTCTGACCCCTTCCTCCTCCTGCACTGCGTGACTTTGAGCCACGTCCACAGCTCTGTCTTGACCACGTAAAACACAGTGCAGTGTTTAATACAAATACCTAAAGGAGCCCCGGTGGTGCAGTGATGAAGCGTCTGGCTGTTCACTGAAAGGTCAGTGGTTCAAACCCACCCAGCAGCTCCATGGGAGGAAGATAGAACAGTCTGCTCCCATGAAGATTACATCCTAGAAAATCCTGAGGGCAATTCTGCTCTGTCAGGTTGGGGCACTATAACTGGGAATTGACTCAGTGGCACCTAACAGCACCCTGGATACCCATCTAGGACCCTCAGAGCCAGTTTCTTTAGATTGACAATAGAAATAGTGTTATCTGGACAGCAGGAAAATACAATTAAGATGATGCTATATTAAGATTATGTTAGCATTTTATAATTTCTTCTTAAGGGCTACTTTGAAAAAACAGAAAACTTCGCTACACTAGGGTCATGAAAAGCAACATGATCGGGGCAGGGAAGAATAATTGTTAGGATAGCTAGTTCTTTTAATAGCTGCCCTCAGAGGAAAACGAAGATGAGGGTGAGGCCAACTCAGTGGGCAATTACAGTGAAGTCCTGAGGATTAGAACGCCGCAGGATTAAATTTCCTGTCCAAGACTTTCCAGTGCTGCCAGAAACTGACAAAACGTGATTGCTCCCCTTTCTGACCGCTGCCCTTGCAGCTGTGCCGACTTGACCCGCGGGAAATGCCTCACTGAGCCGGCCGTCCTGTGCACTTGTCTTCACAGCGCAAATCTGTCCAAAGCTGCCTGGGGAGCGTTGGAGAAAAACGGCGCCCAGCTGATGATCCGCTCCTACGAGCTTGGCGTCCTCTTCCTTCCTTCGACGTTGGTAAGTTCCCAGTGTCTGAAACGGCTTGATTGCTCACTTGTCAAAGAAGCTGGGTTTTTATGTTCTCTTCCTTGCATCCTAATGACTTGCGAGGGGCCGGTAGGGAGCTGAGCCGGGTTACTGACCCACAGCCTGTGCTCCTAACCGCTGGCCTGTGGTGATGCATTTATTAAGCATTCACCGTGGCAGTTCAAACACAGAGGTGCCTCGAAAGACAGGCCTGGCAGTCTGCTTCTGAAAAGTCACAGCCTTAAAAACCCTGGGGAACAGTTCATGGGGTCATCGTGAGGGTAACGCAGCTCCACGGCAACTGATCACACCGTTGTGGATGCAGCAAGATCCCTGCTGCCAATGTGTTTCCCTGATTAGAGAGTGAAGATGGTGCTTCAGGTATGGCCAAGAGCAATATTTAATACATCGTAAGTATCATAAAACATGATGTGAAGATTCATTATGGGATATAAGTGGTGATTCACCAAAGGAATGGCCCGGCGAAGAGCGAGACATTTTTGGTTAGGGTGACTGGAGGGTGGTGTTGGGAAGCAGGAGGGTTTGAGGGGGCTTTTGAAGGATGCATGGGATCCCAGGTAAGTGGAGAGGAGTGGCAATCCAACGGAGGAAATGGCATGAACACAAGCCGAGGCGGGGAAGCGCAAGTCAACTGCTAGAGAGAGAATTCAGGAAAGCCCAGGGAGGCATGCAGTCAGACTCACCGTTGAGGCCCCCTGGACAGGCAGGACGTTGGAAAGCCTTCCCCCCGAGGTCCAGCTCAGCCAGCTTGTCTCGCAGCTTTGAAGCAGCTCACGTCTCTGCAACTGAACCCCACACGAAGTGGTTGGCTCACGTGTAGGGACCCGCTTGTGCAAGCGGTATGTTTCCATAAAGACAAGGAACACACTTGGCCCAGAGAGAGACTTTCCCCACTGAGAGGCACACAGCCTGAGACCGGTCATCTTACCTCACTCACACCAGAGCAGGGCCCCCACGTAGAATAACATCATGGCTGATGCTGTCCTCTTCCTTCTTTTTCACCCCTTGCCTGGGCTTGAATTGGTGGCAGTTAAACATGCACACAGTATACAGCTCCACTGTAAACAACTTTGACAACCGAACTGCGTGGCTGAGTGGTACTGTGTGTTTGTGCTTAGGCTCAGAGTCATGAGTCGGGCTGACAACATGACTGTGTGCTTGTACTTAGCCTTCAATTTGGATTGAAGTAGTGTGGGAAGTCCCTGGGTCATGCAAATGCTTAATGCATGTGGCTGCTAACCAGAAGGTTGGAGGTTCGAATCTACCCAAAGGTACCTTAGAAGAAAGACCTGAGGATCTACTTCCAAAACTCAGCCATTGAAAACCCTGTGCCTAGATCGACTCTGACACATGAGGGGTCGCCATGAGTTGGAATCGACTTGACAGCAGCTGTTAGTGTAGAGCGTGGGCATTCACGTGGCCCCAGGCCCCTGGAGAATGACCCCCGTCCCGACCCCCGTCCCGGTGTCCCCAGTGCTCTCTTCATGCCGCACTCAGGCACCTGGCTCTTTTCTCCCTTTCCCTCTCCCCTTGCCAATATTGAACTGCTTTTTCCTCTGTAGCTCAGAGGGCTCAGCTATGAAGCTGTCCAACAGGCCTCTTCAGAGGATTATAAAGAAGATTTCAACACCTCTTGGTTGTTGCCTACAAAGTAAAACAGAACAGGTCTCCAGGAAACCTCTCAGCCTTAGGGCCAGCTCCCAGAGCCCTGCAGGCAGATCGGTAACCCCATTTTGTAGACAAGGATGTGGCTTCTCCAAGGTCCTGCAGCTAAGGAATGGGGTCCAGCCCTCAAACTGTCTTCTGGCTGATCCCTCCTGTGACCTTTCTGCTTTCTCACAGCTTTTGGGCAACAGTGAATTCACACTGGGATAACAATGGGCGGTAATTTGCTGTGATTGTAGTGGCTTTAAGCTGTGGCTGGAATTCTCTCCCAGTAATAATTTAAGTGATGGAATACATTCCTTGTCACTCTTGTTGGGTTTTTATTGTCAGCATTTGTACAATTCTGGTCATTTCTAACTATCGTGATCTGAAGTGGTAATGGGAAATAAAGATACTATCCATCCTGGTCCTCTGGTCCCTTCTAAGCAACTGATTTTTACCTTAGATATCATTTCTCTGGCTGAATGTCAGAAAAAAAACAATGGGAGAAAAAATAGGCATAATCATTTAGAATCCTCAGATTGACTTTATGCAGAATTCTTGTCTTACTCCTGTGCTTTTGGAATAAAAACCCCTCTAGGTAAGCAAGAGATCCAGTTACTTATGGAGACCATCAGGCAGGAATAGCAAAGGTGAGGTCACCCTTCCATGGCATGCCAGCAGATTCATGGGCTCGGCCCCAAGCAGGGTGACCATGTCATTCACATGCTGATTAATGCAGCAGATTCTGCAGCAGTCAGGCTGCGGTGTAACTCCAGATGCAGAGCGTGGAACAGGGCTCCTACGGGCAGCTTCCTCTGTAGCACAGACTGCCACCATCCCGTTCTTGGCCATTTTCCCCATTTGGTCAGGTGTTTACGTTCTTCAGTGACTCAGAACTGATACGGACAAGGTGCTGTAATCAGGCATTATGGACAGTACACAGTGCTGTCTTGACGTTGCCCTCCCAAGGAGCTGGCCAGGTCTGGCTGGTCAAGGAGGTCATAACATCAAATAAGCACCTACATGTGAGTAAGATGAGAGAGGTTCCAGATGCACGTTGAGTGTGAAAGCTACAAGGATGGCACTGGCCTTAGCGGAATCCAGAGGACTGGAAGGGGTGTGCATGTTCTTGACACTGCATTTTACAGAAACCAGCTTGAGCTTGCTTAAGCCCACGGAGGGAGGAATGGATTGAAAAGATGCTGGGGGTGGAGTCACGGGGGTGTTGAACAGCCAGGCCTTGGGAAGCGGGGGAGCAGGGTCAGCTCTAGGACGTCAGCAGTCTTCACTGCTCCAGTGTCCAGTGGTGTAACTCCCACAGTGGCTCCCTGACCAGGGGCCGGCCGTTGTGCGTTTCCAGTGACTGCTGCACATAGGCCTCCTGTCCTCCCTGTGACAGGACGGTGTCATGTGACACGGCCGTGGCCTCCACACTCCCCCATCCTTCTCCCCTGAGATTATTGTGAGTTATGAAGCCACCCCAAGAGGGAGATATCATCACTTAGGGGCTCACTCATAAGTGACTTGATGTACATCTTGTCAGTCTGCAACAGAGGGTTTCAGGGGTTTTTGTGGTATAGGAGACTTTGTCCTTAAGCCTAATATATCTCAGTACTTATGTTGCTTACTGTCAGCTAAAGCCTCTAGAAAAGTTGTGGGCCTTTACTTGGCCTTCATAGAACTAACATGTATGATGTTTACCGTAAGGACCACCCACAGTCCCGTGGCATGTGGTAATGTCTCATTTTGCTAAGGTTGTGTGGGGCTCCGATTCAGGAAGAGACATTGATGCTGTGAGTGGGAGGCTGCCAGCCAGCATAGCTTGGTTTCTCCCTTCTCAGACTTATCCCAGGCTCGTAACTGAAGGCTCCAGCAACTTGAAATTGACTTCATCAGCACTCAGTTCAACTCCAGACCCTCTGTGTCTTTTTCTCAGGCCTGGGGGATAAAGTGAGGAATGAGATGGAGTCTTTGTTGGGGCAACAGACACATGTAATCACAGTGGATAGTGGGAATTGTGGTAGGAGGTATATAAAAATCATAAGGGCGCCGAGAAGAAAGAGCTTGAAAGTCAACCTAGGGGGATTAGGTTAGGCTTTAAGGTGACATTCAACCTGGTTCTTGAAAAACGTGTGTGAGTTTAACCCACAGCCCGAGGGTGATGAGGCTTCCACACAGAGAATAGGAATACGTGTTCTACTTACTTGGAGAACCCCAGCAGGTAGTCCTCTGTGCCTGGTGCTGGGGGGGGAGGGGAAGAACAGGCCATGACAGAATCAACAGAGCCCTGTTGCAAAGGAGATGGAGGAGCAAGACACACGGGGTTGAGCTTTGCCCCCACAGCCATCCAGGTCCCTAAGCGGGGCTAGCAGTCTTATCAGGCCAATTTTCAGAGATGTTGAGACTTGAAAAAATGTAATCCTAAAATGATAGTAATTACACTTTAACTTCTGTTGTTCAAAAGGTACTTGAGGATATATAAGGTGTAACAGATGTCATTAGAACTGTCATCTTCATCATTTAAACACATTATTAAAAAATCCTGATTATCATTGAATTACTGTTTTATCTGCCACACTGTCTAAGCTTGAAATGTGGAAACCATCCTCATTTCCCCACCTCCATCTGTTTAATCATCAAGTCCTGCCAGTCCTAACTCCTTGAAGTTGCTTGGTACTCTGTCACTGTCCCCATCCCCCCTGCCACCATGTCCAGGACACATTGACGCTTGCCTGCCCCCTCACTTCCCAGGTCTCCCCCAAGCTCCTGGTCACCCAGCTGCTGGGATGGTCATCAGACACCACTCCAGCCACGCCCTGGTCTGCCTCACATCCTTCAGCACCGAATCCAGACTCCTCGGCTTAGCCTCCTTTTCCTTGTCCTCTGACTCCTGACTGCTCGGCCCTCACCTCTTCCCTCTCTCTCCCTGGCACTTGATATCCTAGCCACGTGGAACCGCTTGTTCTAAAAGCCAGGCCCACCTCATCTAGCTGGCCTTAACCTGTATTTAGAGACACCTCTACTCTGGTGGTGTAGTGCCTGAGGCATTTGACTGCTAACTAGAAGGCTGGCGGTTCAAACCTACGAGCCACTCCTCGGAAGGAAGATTGGGCAATCTACTTCTGTAGCGATACCGCCTTGGAAACCCAAGGAGGGGTCGCTGTGGGTCAGAAATGACTCGATGGCAGTGAGTTTGGTTTGGTTCTACACTCCTACCCCCACCTGCCTCATCAGGCCTTACTGCAAATTCTTCTCCCCTGCATCCCACAGGTTTCTAGGACCTGCGGCTTATCACACACCATACTGCGTTGTACCCATTGACT